TTTTGAGACAGGGTCTCCCTGTAGCCCCAGCTGTCCTGGAACTCAATATGTAGACCAGTCTGGCCTTGAACTCACAGACATCCACCTGCCTCTGCCTCCGAGAGCTGGGGTTAAAGGTGTGCACCACCACACCTGGTAGAAATGTGCCTTTAAACTGGGCATGGTGGCTCATATCTGTAATCTAAGTGCTTGGATAGTATCTCTTGTAGTCCAAGATGTCCTCAAACTATGTAGCTGAGGATGATCTTGAACTCTTGATCCTCCAGCCTCCACTTTCCAAAGGCTGGGTATGCAACACCACACTCAGTTTTTTTTATTACTATTTTATTATGAAATTATTTATTAACTACCTGCAAAGCACTTTTCAAATATAATAGTCACAATGCCATCATATGTCAGCAAGTGTAAATTATTTATCTTGTTTTAAAAGTTGCAAACATGAAAGCATTATTGATAAGTTTCAAAAGGTTGACCTATTCTTCCTAACACTATAATTGAGGTAATCTACACTGGATAATCACCAATTACAGAAGAGAATACACAAACCACAGAAGAATTATAAAGGGGTTTCATCCACCAAGGCCTTTTTGGGGTTCTTTTCTGGATCACTCCACAAAATTTAGCTCTAATCAAACACCACCACAGAAGGAAAACAAAACCCTGATAACTCAGGTTATATCCATCATGGGTGTTCTTATTTTTATCTTAAAATTTTCCAAAATATTAAAATAGAATAAAATTTCTCTCATAAATTGACTCCATAGCACTTTCTTTAGGATGGTTTTTCACTGTGATCAGAGATTGTGTGAACTCAGATGTGGTGAATGCATCATGTTTGAGTCTTATCATCAAACCCCAGTGTTTGTAGGAAACATAAACAGGTATCTGTGATAAAAGTAAGACTTTCTTTTCAAAAATCATGACCCCCAAGAAAGAAAGATTAGAGGTAGATGACAGATAGATAGATGATGATAGATAGATAGATGATAGATAGATAGATACATAGATGATAGATAGATAGATAGATAGATAGATAGATAGATAGATAGATAGATGATAGATGATAGATGATAGATGACAGTATTTGTCAACAGCTCAGGTGCTATGGATCCCAGCTCTGTAACCTGCCCATTTTTTTCTGGAATAAATCAGTGATATGATATGCATAGATGATGTCATTGTTCTTGATACAAATTGTGGCTTTTGCTCCCGAATTTGTGCAAAGTTGAGTGTGCATGTATGTGTGTGTGTATGTGTGCATGTGTGTGTGTGGTGTGTGTGTGTGTGTGTTCCGGGTATTAAACTCAGAACACACTTAAGCTTGCAATATAAGTACTTTACTAACTGAACTATATGTCTGGCTCAGGATTCAATTTTAGTGAAGAAATAAGATGTAAAAGTCATGTCTTCTTTTGTGTGTTGGACCAGGAATGACACTAGAGTTACTTCCACTATTGCCTCTATGATGAATGATAGAAACTTGGTATAGACCTGCCAAGATCTCTTTATGCAGCCCTGTATAATGTATAAACTCTATGTAAAGTCTTCAGAGTAGCTGTTAGCATTCATGTTTTTACTTGCTAATGACCACATATAAAAGGACAAGAATTACATTTTAATAAAGTTACCATGGCAAAAAAGACTAGACCCATTAATTTAAAGCTATTTTCTACATTATCAAAACTGCCTTTTATGTTCATTTTAGAACTTTACCTTCTATATATACCCATTATCATTTATCATCCTGTAAAGAAGGGTTAGCAAGTAAAAAATTATCCATGAATTTTACAAACAACCAGGAGTTCTTGTGATCAAAACTACACAGGTGAAAAATTCATGGTTAGATGACAGTAAAGTCTTTCCCCATCTTAATTTCTTTGAATGAAAGAATCTTACACATGATGCAGGAACATTCCTTCTACATCCAGCAACTGGTGTGAAAATAGGATGCATGCCTTTAATCTCAGCACTTGGGAGGCAGAGGCAGGTGGATGAACCTCTGTGAGAGCGAGGCCAGCTTGGTCTACATAGCAAGTTTCAGGTCAGCTGGAATTGTTGTCTAAGTATGTGCATCAATCGCTCCAGTAAAGTATGAATGATGCTGCAGCTACAAGTCTTGCCAATACTAGTGTACTCAAAAACGGTAATATACACAGAAAGTGAATCCTACTTCACCAACCATAGCTACTCATGGCATAATCATATAATGTACCTGACATAGAACTTAAGTGAGTTTCTTCCTTTCCTAGGTTAGAAAAGGCATTCTTTGTATCCATAAAAAGGCAAGTGTACATTAAAAATTATTATGTTGAGGCTTACAAATTAGTCTTCCGCTATTTTAAAAAAGAATTTCCCTATTATGTTTTGCCAAAGAAGTAAATTTCCCAGTCAAAACAATTAATTAGAAGCTATTAATAATGCCTTCAAAGACTTAAGTAGTCACTGTAAATAAAAAGAGGAACTGAAGGAAATCAAATCCCCAAAACACGATGAGGAGATGAATGAGTTTGTTGATGTCTAATTGGAAACTTTGCTTTGAATTCTCTGATGCATCTGCCTTCATCCACTAACTCATACTCATTCAATTCACAGAGCACTCAGAGGCTTCAGATTTGTGAAGGGCTTAAACTTCAAACTCAATCTTCCTTTTCTTCTTAATATATTTATTCCTTACATTTTTTTTTCTTAGTATACAAAGTAGTTGAGTGGGGTAGTCATGTTAGCACTAATAGCTACATTTCTAGTTATCCTAGCTGTAGACTCTCTGGAAATTATTAGAAAAAATGAAAATACTGAAATTCTTAAGTTATAAATTATTTGATAATTCCTCCAATTCCTTTTATGTGAGCTGTGAGCTCTATCTATCTACTGTCTGCCTACCGACCCACTTATCTACCATTGTTTCTTTCTGTCTCCAACAGAGACCAGATACCAACACAGGATTTATGACTATAGATGATTAGGACTAATGCAACTCAGGCCAGTCAAGTCAAATATGTGTAAAACTGTTAACTTTCCAGTTACATGATCCACAACCTACACCCACTCCAAAAGCTGTTGCTTTGAGAATAAAGGGATTAGAGAAAAAAATTGATTTTGTAGAATACACCCCTCATCACTTCTTGAAAAAGCTAAATATGACCTTCAACTGATGGTTGAACCCTGACATTTACCTTCACCCTAAAGAGGGGCATGCCATCTCTGGGCAGTTATTAATGCCATGCTCTGAGAAACAGGAGAAACAGTCTCCTGTGGTTCCTTAGGTATTTTACAGAAAAATATATACTGTCTTATGTACCTGTAACTTGCCCTGATCATGCACATGACCTAAAATGTCACTGACATTTAGGCAGAGTCAATATCAAGAACTAGGAATAGTGGTTATATCTATCCACGCTTCTTCCTTATGTTTCTCAAATGCTAGCTGTTGGGCTGTTGGGAGAGCTGGCATAGCGGTTAAAGGCTCAGGCTCACAATCAAATGCTAGTTGCATGTTTCATCCTTGAAGATTGAAAGCTTCCCCTCTGAAGTCTCTGTGACCAAGTTTTAATTTCACTTACTGAATTACAATTTAATTATATTTATTTTTAACAACAACATATATATTGCTAAGGATAGATAGGATATAATTTTTGTTTTTATACTTGTTTATGTTTTAAAGACTAGCTTCAGGTGATCATAATTTCTCCTTCTATTCCACTTAGCTGATTCCTTATTAAACCACTTTTGAGGACCTTGTTCCTTTCATAGGTCAAATCTATGACATTGTTGATATCCAACCCAAGACACTGTATCAAGAACAGTGCTATATGTATATACATGTAAATAGTATATTTGATTATATATCACTAAATTCCTTACAATTATTCATTTAAAAGACTTTGCAAATAACTTTTCTGCATGCTGTTACTTTTTAAAAACTAATAATTTAAAAATGAATTGCTAAGAATCTTACAAATAATGCCACAGAGAAATGCTTTTAAGGGCATAGACCACATGGTCTTTAGGCCAAGATGTAAATATCAAGATAAAAATTGGAGCAAAAAGAAATGTAGCAAAGTCGTGCTAATAGGAAAAATACTGTGTATCCTGGGCTCAGTCCGGCAATAAAAAATACTATTTGCCAATAATCTTTGTACAAATATGACCTTCTTTAGGAGATATAATACCAGATTCCTTTTATATGTTGGTTTCCTTTTGCTTCTTATATAAATGATCTTTTAGGTTATTTGTAAGGCTGACCTCATAAACGAGTAGGCCCACCTCGTAAGAGCAGTTAAATGTCAAGGCAGAACTTAAACAAAAGCAGGTATGCTTCACACAGGAAATGTTCAATGTTGAAAGCCAGTCACAGAGAATGATCTCTTGCATTAAAGGTTTAGAGACATTATCCTCAAGAAAAGGCACCAAAGTGGATTAGTGATTTATCTTTTTCATAAGTCCAACACAATACCTGGTGTGGCATTACAAAGATAACGAATAACCCATGAGAGGATCAGGCAGAACCTACACTTTGTATCCATTAGTCCCCCGTAATGCCGTTCCACAGGTGCAGGCACAGGGCTCTGCTTTCACCATTTAGGGGCCACACGGCTTTTTAAAAGAAGAAACGCCATATGCCACTGTTCTGTCTCTACTTACTGCACCTATGGAGATTGCCTCCCTTCATTCCTTAGAGTACCCAAGTGGACTGTTCATCCTTAAAACTTTGATCACCTGATCCTAGCTGCAAGTCAGTTTGTTTGCAATTGACTCTTCATGAAAACTCTGCTAAATTGCTGATAAATACATTATTTGCCAAATGATATGGAATTACTTAAGATTCTGATTTTTTTTTCACTAAGAAAGGGATTTAAAAAATCACAATTGATCTTGGACATGTACCTGATTTCTCTAAGAGAAAAGTATTATGAATAAGAATTTTTGACCTAAGGTTTTTTTCTAATAATTTCTTTAAAGAAAAAAGAAACACCAAATAGGAAGACTGCACACTCTGTTACCTTGGAAACTCGGTTGGCAACTTCTCGGCCCACCGTGAGCCCCTGGACAAAGGTGCGGGCAGCAATGAAGGCGCGGGTGACCTGAATCTTCAGTTTCCGGGGGACATCTCCAAAGGGCTTCAGCTGGTCTGTGTACTTGCTCACGCATTCCAGGTAGTCCTCGCTAAAGTGATACTGGGGATTTATCAGCTGGAACATCCGTTCCAGAAGCCGAGCCCAGAAGTCATTGAGCATCTCCTCCAGGTTGACGTTGCCCCCGGTGTAGTATCTCTTCAGCTCAGTGAAGAGGTCCTGAAACACCTCTGAATTCTGCATGTACAGCATCCCATAGGTCCGGACAAACATGTCATTTAGGGACTTCTCTGCATTCTCCAGGAGCTCCCGGAAAAATTCTGGCAAGCAAACAAGAAAGCAGTCATAAATGAATAAGATCTAGAAAGCCCAAGACCTCTATTGACTTTAATCATAGCTGCTTACGGTTTTCTCTTTTTGGTAGTGCTGAGACCTGAACTTAGGGCCTGGCACATGCTAGGCTTAGTTCTACTGAGCTGTATTCCCAGAAGAACACAAGCACTGTTAATGCTGGCTTTACTGGAAAACAAAATAATATGACTATAGTATTAATGAAGTGTTGAGAAAAATATTTCAAATGAGATTTGACCACGTCTGTGATCTTCTAGGAGACAAAGAAAGGAGAAAAACCCTATGATTTCCATTTGAAAACACATCCATTAATATTAGGAGCTTACCAATTAATACCCCTCCAAAAATAGCTCAATTATTCTTTCATGTATTAAACTCAAGACAAAATAGATTGCAAACATAATAGGTAAAGGATCATCACTAACACATTAACAAATGAGTACCAATAAGCATATTTCCTACCTATTCACAAAGTAACTGCAATATTGAATTAAATTTAACTTTCTATTTGGAAAAGTCCTTAAATGAGGTGCTCAACTTATTGTAATAGTTTGGACTCTTTCTAATTCCTATATATAATAACCAATAAACAATGTCCAGAGATTGGTGATGCAGTTAAATTCAATTAATGCTAAAGCTGTGCAAAACATTATTAAGATGACCATAATCCATAATGGATCAGAAAACCATGATGTATCTTGGTTATTATTATAGACTATTATTTTAGAGAATTGGGGAAGAATATTGGCAGCTGGGCTTTGTGATTAGGAAATTCTAGTTGAAAAAAGTGTATCAACAAAGGTATTCTTCCTGCCTGCATGTGGGAGCTTCTGAAATCACCGATACAATCAGCATAAAAGAAATTAAAGACAATGGATATGGCTAGTCTCATTGGTGTTTGTTTCAGGATCATTCAAGAGGCACTTCATGTGTGCATACACACAGAAGTCATTCCAAACATAAGTCTTGGAAGAGCAAAGACAAAGTTTTATCCCAATTGCAGAGTATAAGCTAGGTAAGGAAAAAACTAAGGAAAGATGTTGCCTTTGAGTTTATCAACCCAAGTTCCAACAACAGAGTGAGATTCTGTCTCTTCAGTCTTCCTTTCTATACCTTGAAGCTATCTATAGTCTCCCTTAGAAATGCAGGGAAAAATCAAGTCCCACACAATTCAAGCACTCCGAGCATAAACTGTAAAAATATTCTGCTTTGTGAAGCCCTGGGGAATTTGTTCCAAAGCACAGAAGGAAAAAAGTGGTGAATCCTTCTCTGGAGTCACTGTAGAAACTAGTGTGTGTGTGTGTGTGTGTGTGTGTGTGTGTGTGTATGTGTGTGTGTGTGTGTGTTTTCTCAGAGTTGCCTGATGAAACATATAATTCTATCACTTCCATTCTTTCTGATTCATAGAAAATCAAACCATCTTTTTGCTAATTTAATACTGTCCATACTAATCATATCTATTTCAAATAAGCCCAAAGCAACAAAGGCTAAAGAGGACTCTGTGCACCTTTTTATCCTCACATGATGAAAGAATGCGTTCTTTTTCTTATAGAAACTCATTTGCTATAAATAT